CGAAGAATTTTTAGCATTCCCATCCGCCATATTGGTTCAGCCATTTTGAATTTTCAAATTTTAAGTTCGGTTTCGGCATCAGCGACCCTGAAAACCTTTCAATACTACATTTCGCGGAAATCGGAAGACTTTTAGCATTTCCGTAAAACTTCAAACCGCCATATTGGTTCAACCACTTTGAATTTTCAAATTTTGAGACCGGATTCGAAATCGGCGACTCCCAAAACCTTTAGATACGACATTTCAACGGAAACGAAGTACTCTAACAACCTCAACGAAAACAGGCTTCAGGGCACGTAACACGCCAATTTTAAAAAAGAAAGGAAATAAGCTTTGATTTAAGATAATTATTTTGATAATTTTATTTTTTAGAAATAATTGTCTTACTGCAAGTCAGCAGTTACTACTTGCATTAAACTTTTACGCAAATGGATCTTTTTTGAGAGTAGTAGGAGATTTTGGCGGAATTAGTATATCTACAGCTAGTCGGACGGTGAGAAGAGTTTCTAAAGCTATAGCTGCTTTACGCCCAACTTATATAAAAATGCCTGAAGGTGATGACGCTACTGAAGTGAAACAAACTTTCTATAATATCGCCCGATTTCCAAGATGTATCGGGGCATTAGACTGTACCCACGTTAAAATCACCAGGCGGTCATAATGCTAAAACATTTCGAAATAGGAAACAAATCTTTTCTTTAAATGTACAAACCGATCCGTTTCTAAAAATAAGAGATATAGTAGTACGATGGCCAGGATCTTGTCATGATAGTCACATATTCAGAAATTCTTTGTATGCTTCTTTAGAAACTGGTTGATTTGGAGACAATGTGACAAGTAGCGGATAGCGGATATCCAGTAAAACCTTATTTATTGACTCCTCTATAAGTAAGAAATAACGCGGAGGCGCTTTATAATGAATCCCTAGTTCGTACAAGAAATGTTGTAGAAAAAAAATATGGTGTATGGAAGAGGAGATTTTCACCATTGGTGATGGGAATACGTCTAAAACTAGCTACAATTCAAGCTATGATAGTAGCTACAGCTATTCTTGATAATATAGTTTGTGACGAAAAAGAAAGGACACCAGTAAATCATGAGCAAGAAATTGCTATTAATAACATTAATAATATCCCTGTGCAAAATGCAGAACGTGATATTATTAGAATTAATGCAAATAATCGAACAAGACATAACTTTATCTATAATTACTTTGCAACTTTATAATTATTTTTTTAGTTACAATAAAATATATATAATTATATTTATTTAACATATTCGAACATTTTGTGTATTAGAACATGTATGTGTATTTAACATACGTTGAAACATTTAATAAAATATGTATTCGTATAACATTCTAAACATATGTTAAAATTTTCTTATAATAAATGTTTGTATATTAGATTATCTTCAGAACCGTTACTCTCGTGCTCCAAAAAATAAAACTACAAATATATTCAACGTATAGTATGGTATATAACGAAACATATAATTTGTACTTTAATTAAAGAAAGAAAATATCACGCTTAATAAACACATTTATATTTTTCTCAAGACTTCAAGTTTTTTTTCCTTAATTTGCTTTTTTAATTGGAGAATTTCCATTTTTATATTATATTCCTCTAAAAGCATTTTTTTTCTGTAATTTTGAAGTCTAATTTTTCAGCAATTATATCATTATTTACTTCTTCAAATCGTCTTTTTAAGACACGTTGATCTGTTCCTTTTTCCTTTCCTGAAAAATAAAAATTATTATTTTACAAATTTTTTAGGACAAGTAATGATATATATTTATTCTAAATGGGATATTAAGAAATTTGTAAAACTATCAAGTTATGCAGTTTTGTTAGAATATTCAATAAAATCCGTACTTGGTTTATTAATAATAAGCTTCTCCGATACAGGATCTTTTAAATTTTTACTGCAATATGTAGTCCAATCATTTACAGAAGATGAGGTTTCCACTAAGATGATGTTTTCCTTATTTCCTAAAATTTATAATTTGAGTAACTTTAGAAGCTCTGAATTTGTAAACGTGTACTCATTTCGATACATTATTAAGAAACTAACCTTGATCATCAATCTCTTGATCATCATTTTCTTCAGGAACATTATAAGTTTCTTTATCTTGATCAATATCGAGGCAGTTAGGCGATATGGAAATAGAGTTGCTGTTTAATGTTTCATTAATCACTACTAAATAAGAAGTGAATTATTAAAACAACGATAAATATAAATTAAAAATTACAAAGATAATATAATAGAACTTACTGTTAATATTTTGCGAGTTACAGTCATATGAGTTTTGTAAGCTAGTAACTTGTTCCCCTAATATATCTTTAATCGCCAAATTTACATCGGTCACATTTATTGGTGTGAAAGGACCTCCACCTGTTTTACTAGCATTAATTTTTTCTAAGGCAAATTTCTATTTCGTATCTTTTTTTAAATTATTATATTTTTCTTTTAAGGGGCTACATACACCTAGAAATTTTGAAAAAATGCATTTTTCGTTTTTTGCATATTCGAAAAGTATGATCTTGAGAATATCTCCTGCAAGTTTCAAAGTAATTCCTTGAAAATTGTTGGAGATATAGCGAAAAAGGTCTAAGCGCGTTCGACGACGCTCGGGTGCGACGGCCGCGACGGGCGCGTCATAATTCTTCGCAAGATATAGTACGTTTCCACCGAGCGCGACGCGTGACGCGCGACGTACCAATAGTCTTTTGTTATTTAATATTCCAATAGTCTTTTGTTATTTAATTTAAGCTAACGGTTTGCAGTGTGCAGGAATAAACACGGTTCTTTTGTCAGTAGCTGTCCATTAGTTTTATTTATTCGTTTCGATTTAGTTATAAGCGGCAATATAAAGAGATCATTGTAGAAAATAATTTTGTGATAAAAATGGAAAGGAAAAAGAGTTCCAGAGAAGCTCATCGGTGTCAGGCAGAAAAGATAAGAAAAGGAAGAGACCGCGTCCTCTCAATAAATACGAAGCAGAAAAAAAAACAGCGAGTATCAGCGCCTCGGCGAAAAAAATAAAAACAGCAAACATGATACATGTTCCTGAAGAACAAAGCATCAGATATCGCATTTTAAATTTCATCACTGTGTTCTCAGCAATTTCTGAGCATGTAAAGTGCAAAGTATGTGATTCTAATGTAGAGTTTAAAGCAGGAAGCTCTCGGGGACTTGGTCTTAAAATTTTGATTGTGTGTCCATCTTGCAACCCAATTTCAATTCCGTTAATTGGGCCAGCATATGAAATTAATAGACGATTCATATTTGCTATGCGTTTATTGGGTATCGGTCTAAATGGAGCAAGACAATTTTGTGGGCTAATGGATTTGCCACCTCCCGTTGTTCAAAGTACGTACTATATAATCATCAAAAATATACACAAGGCCGCTTCATCTGTTTGCGATTTTTTTCTAAGACAAACCGTGAAAGAAGAAATAAAAGAAACTTGCATAGAAAAAGAGTGTGAAGATACTTCCGAACTTATGGTTTCTGGGGATGGCACGTGAAAAAAATGTGGTTTCTGTTAAGTACAAAATTATATGATTTGATTTGGTTTGGCGTCTGGCGCCAACCTTGCTGCATACGCTATACGTCCCGATAGGGGGCCGCGTTTATGGAAGCCGCGCGTGCATCATTGCGATCGTTCGGGTCGGCTGGCGAGCGCGCTACCTTTTCTTTTACCCAAGAAGACTAGAACTAAGGAGAGTCAACTCGTGCCAATAGCGGTAGTGGGGGTGAGGCAAAAAGTGGCGACGGATAACTTCCCCCACTCTTGCGCTTCATTAGTCCTCTCTGTCACTCTATATAGTTGTCGCTCTATCGTTCTATAATCGTCACTTTGTCGCTCTTATATCGAACTTTCACACAATGCGCAGTGCCGCTGCACATCGTGTGAATAGCCGCGGACGTTTTTTGACTCACCCCCATCACACGAGTTGATCCTCCTTAGTTCTAGTCTTCTTGCTTTTACCACTCTCCCGCATGTAAGTTGCGCGCGCACTTCTTCTTGGCTCTCAGCCATCTTTGTAACAACAAAAAAAACGAGCAACAAGTCGACCGCTATACCGCCGTTTTCATATGTATCCGTGAGTGCAAGTCTAATAAATTTATACTCAAATTAGAGAAGATTACGTTGCTTCTCGACCACCTCCGAGCGCGAAGAAAGAGATCCGCATCTTCACCAAAGTGGGAGTGCACGTCTCAGTTTAACGACGCGTGCAAGACAAAAACATTGGTCCTTTGAGCCGGATCCAGCCATTTTGGATAAAAGAGCTGCTCATCGGATACATGCAAGAACAGCTGCTAATATTCTGGTATTACGAGTTCCTTCAACGAAGTCCAGATACTCTACAGGCACGCCGGTGGGTGCCAGCGGTGCGCTTAACCTACAATCACGGCGAGGTCTAGTGCCGAGGCAGCGCACCATTCCACGGTGCCGATTCATACGAGTGCCAAGGCAGCGCGCCATTCCACGACGCCGACTCATACGAACGCCAGGGCGTACCCGCACGCGCTGCGCGCATCGTCCAGCGGCACATTTAACCTACAAGGGTGACAGCGGTGCGCTTAACCTACAATCACGGCGAGGTCTAGTGCCAAGGCAGCCCGCCATTCCACGACGCCGGATAATATGAGCGCCAGGGCGCATGCGCTGTGCGCATCGTCACTAGCAGGAGTCCCACGTCCTTCAGAGAGACAAGCACGAGGAGCAAGGATCGGCAGCGACGAGTAGATCCGCATCAGTCGTCGTTCAGGAACCGGACTCGCCCTTGAGAAATGACGAAAGGAACGAGAAGGCATCTGGCGGTAATTCCCTTCAAGGATCGTCAGACATCGTTCCTCGCTGTCGCATCGGCAAGGCACCGTCAGATTAAGACGTATATAGGTATCGCGCGCTGCGTGGTCAGGTAAGGCTATCTAGATTGGCCTTCGGAAACGTTTGCGTATATTATTCTACCGCCGTCTATTAATTTAAAATGTCCGTCGAAAACATTGCTGCTCTTAAAAGACAGCGGGCGACCATTAAGGCGTCGTGTACGCGTACGAAAACATACGTGGATGCGGTCACGTCTCTTACGCCGTCGGTAATAGCGCAACTTGAGGAACGCAAGGTAAAGCTGGATCTCAATTGGTCGGAATATAATACCGTTCAATCGCGAATAGAAGCATTGGATGAAAATGAAGGCAGCGATCGCTCAGGGTTCAAGGAGGCATATTACGCGTTATCGGCGAAAATGAGAAAACTAACTATATCCGTGCCATCGGCGCGTAATATGGCGCCATCGCCATCCAATGTCTCCGATACTTATAGTTCCGTGGCGCATGTACGATTGCCGAAATTGAATCTTTCGAGTTTTAGCGGTAAATACGACGAGTGGTTTCCATTTTTTTGACGCCTTCAATTCAATTATACATTCCAATGCTTCGCTCAGTAACGTTCAAAAATTGCAATACTTACGCTCTTCTCTTTCCAGTGAGGCCAGTGATGTCATCAGTTCGCTGGAAATCTCGGATTTCAATTATGAGATTGCCTGGCGATTATTGAAGGAGCGTTATGATAACAGAGAGAGAGAATCATTGTGCATACACATATTAGAAGCCATCATGGAGCTTCCATTTATGTCTAAGGAGAATTCCAGCGAGCTGAGGCTAATTGCGGATGGCGCGTCCAAGCATGTACGTGCCCTACAAGCACTCCAGCGCCCAACAGCCCACTGGGATGATATTCTTGTGTATATTCTAAGCGCTAAGCTCGACACAATCACTCTGCGAGAGTGGCAGTCCTCTTTGGCCGACACGGAGCTCCCGACTCTGAAACAGATTATCGAGTTCATATCGCATCGCTGTCAGGTTCTGGAAGCGACAGGCAAGTCTTCCATCATTTCAACCAAAGGTAACAATTCGCGGAATTCGTTACAGGCAAGGCGCCAGTCCGCGTGTACGGCAACAATAGGTTACAAATGCAATTTCTGTCAGGGCGAACACTCGATTTACAAATGCAAGGAATTTCTAGCCCTTCCAATACCGCGTAGAAATTCAGAAATCCGTAGCCGCAAAATCTGTATCAATTGTTTACGTTCTACAACGCATGTAGCTAGCAAATGCCCTTCAGGCGGTTGCAAAAATTGTAAGGCCAAACATAATGCGCTACTGCACACGACAACCGTTACTAGCACACAAGATCACGACGAGGAAAATTGCGCGAAACAGGTAATAGCCATGACTCAAGCGGCCTTGGCCACACACGCGTCGAGTCTCCCTGACAATAAATGTACTATACTCTCGACCGCCGTAGTGTACGTCTATGATAAAGAAGGCAGGCGCATCGGGGGCCGTGCATTGTTGGATTGCGGCTCGCAGGCTAACTTTATTTCTAGGGAATTCTTAACCAAGCTTGATTTAAAACCAAGATCGATAAGCGTTGTTATCTCAGGGGTGGATGGCGCGACCACGCCATCCTCCCCTATCTAATCAGAGCGTCCGCTTGAAGCTTCAATCTCGCTTAAATGCATATTCAACAGATATCGAATGTATTGGCACCGAGCAAGTGACGGGTAAACTTCCCGCGGTCACCTTAGATCGTGGGGCTTTCGACATTCCTCGCAATTTAGAGTTGGCTGACCCACATTTCTATAAATCATCTAAGGTCGATTTATTACTAGGTGTCGACATATTCTGGGACTTGGTGTGCGTGGGGCAGATGCAATCCTCGCCCAAACATCCAACTCTGCAAAAGACGCGTTTAGGGTGGATCTTGGCCGGTCGAATCGGCCTTTCATCGAGCAATCCGCGAGGGGTAAGCACCTTTCACGCGACTATAACTAACGCACAGATACACGACCAGTTAAACCTCTTCTGGCATCAGGAAGGTTGTGTTGGGCGCCCCATTGATCGTACCCTCGTGGAGATTCGGTGCGAACTTCTTAGACAGCATGTCCCAAAATCCAGACGGTAGATTTGTGGTAAAGCTTCCCATCAAGGAGCATATGATCAGCAAAATAGGTTGTTCAAGGGACATAGCGTTAAAGCGTCTAAAGAATCTCGAGAAACGTTTTGATCGTGATCCTAACCTAAGACTACAATATACGGAGTTCATGAACGAATACCTAACCTCAGGGCATATGAAGGTTGTAGATGAGCATTCCGACGAAGTTTTTTACTTACCGCATCATTGCGTGTTTAAGGGCTCTGGTCAATCTTCCAAAATCCCCGTTGTCTTTGATGCATCGTGCAAAAGTAGCACAGGCGTATCACTCAACGATGTACTCACAGTAGGGCCTGTTGTGCAGCAGGATCTAATGTCCATTTTACTACGATTTCGTACACATCGCTACGCTATCTCGGCCGATATAATTAAGATGTATCGACAGATTTTGGTGGATCCTCCGCAGACGAGACTGCAAAGAATATTGTGGCGCGATAGTGTAAAGTCGGACATCAAGGAATTTGAGCTAACAACAGTGACGTACGGTACTTCCTCCGCCTCATATTTAGCGACGAAATGTCTAACATACTTGGCGGAACAACACGATGCGACGTTTCCAGTAGGATCGAAATGCGTCAGGCAAGACTTTTATATGGACGATATGCTCACGGGGGCAGACACGATTACTGAAGCCGAGTTAATAGTAAAGGAAGTTACGCAATTACTACGACTAGGTTTATTCGAACTCAGTAAATGGGCATCAAATTGCCCACAGTTACTCGATTATGTGGGTGGTCATGGTGACTCAATCGTCATTAGTAGCAGCGAACATCCACGCGTATTGGGGGTTTTATGGAGCCAAACAAACGACAAGTTAGAGTTTTCGTATGAGACGGACGTAGATCATCATATGGTATCCAAGCGCGCAATATTATCAGAAACCGCTAGATTGTTCGATCCCCTAGGAGTGCTAGGATCTATTATAGTTACGGCAAAAATCATCCTCCAAGAGCTTTGGCAAGCGGGCTGTCAATGGGATGAATCCGTTCCTCAAGCCATACAATCACGATGGCTAAAATTCAAATCGCAGTTACCTGAGATAAACAGATTGCAAATTAATCGATGCGTCAAATTTGCTTCAGATCCTCGTCACGTTCAAATATATGGGTTTTGTGATGCCAGTCAGTGTGCCTATGGAGCATGCATATACGTCCGAACGGAGGGTAGCAACGAGTATCGCTTGGAGATTCTCTGTTCAAAATCTCGCATTGCACCTCTCAAGACGGTGTCTCTGCCAAGGTTGGAACTATCCGCAGCATTGTTACTAGCTCAGCTGTTAATTGGAAAAGGTTAGAGATTCCTTTGACCTATCACAATATGACATCTTCCTTTGGTCAGACTCGACGATAGCATTAAATTGGTTGACTTCACCTTCCCGGAAGTGGACAGCCTTCGTGGCCAACCGAATCGGTGAAATACAACGTATCACAAGGATAGAGTGTTGGGCTCATGTTTCATCTGCTGATAATCCTGCGGACGTGTTATCGCGTGGGCTCAATCCCCACGAGTTGGCAAGCTCTTGTGGTGGCAAGGCCCCGCCTTCCTGCGATCTCCTCAAGATCAATGGCCAAGCAGTGGATTCACTCGACTCGCGAATGGCATGCCGGAGGCGCGGGTAGTCTCTGCAGTCGCAGTTTCTCTTGAAGGTTCCGTAATAGATGAATTGACAGGCAAATTCTCTAGTTTGAATAAAATATGTCGTATTTTGGCCTATTGCCTTAGGTTTCGCAAGGCGTTTCGCCCGAATCCGCCGACTAGTTTTGTCTCACATGACGAAATGTTACGCGCACTAAATACAGCATGTAGTACGATACAAAAGGCCTCGTTTCCCGAGGAGTACAAGGCATTAAAAAACCGGTTCCATCAGAGACATTCATGGGCTCCTTGCCGGCCAGTCGCGTCACGGTGTCAAGGCCATTTTCGCATTGTGGCGTAGACTACGCTGGTCCAATTGTAATCAGAGAGGGCAAACGTAAAATTGCAAATACATCAAATAAAAATAACGTAACATAATAACGGTTTTTTTTTATAAAAATAATTATCGTAAGGCAATTCAGTTAAGCCGATATGTTAAGGAACAATATAAATTTCCAATCTTTTATACACTAAGACCCATTCTACACGCGTAAGAAGTATGTTTCGGACCATGAACTGCTTTAGTTAAGCTATCTGCTGGCATCTCTTCGCTTGGGATGTAATCTAATTCAATGATACCATTTGAAACCTTCTCCCGAATGTAGTGATGTCGCACGTCTATGTGTTTCGATCTAGCTCTGTATCCATCAGTCCGAGCAAGTTCCAGAACACTTTGGTTGTCGCATCCAATGCTTATTGATTTATTCCTGATCTGAGATTCCAAACCCTCACTCAAGTGCTTAAGCCATAGCGCTTCTTGTATTGTGGCCGAGAGGGCCATGTACTCCGCCTCGGTACTTGATAATGCGACCGTTTGTTGTCGTTTGCTTTCCCAGGAAATTGCACCGCCGGACATCAGAAAAATGTAGCCAGTGTAAGAGCGACGATTGTCAACATCGGACGCCCAATCTGCATCAGAATATCCATGCAAATTAGAATTTATTTTATTGTAACGTACTTTATACTCCAGAGTTCCCTTTAGGTATCTGAAGATGCGTTTGACCGCAGACCAATGAGCTTTTCCAAAATTAGAGTTGAATCTGCTGACATCATTGACCGCAAATGCTATATTGGGCCGTGTTCCTTGCGCCAAGTATAACAAGCTTCCAACTGCCTGCTGATACGATACATTTTTGAGTTCTTTCTTCTCTTCTTCACTAACTGCAGACATCTCGATAGACAATCTCTGATTCGGATCGCTTGGAGTTACAGCTGGTTTGCAGTCGGCCATTCTTGAACTTCTCAAGAATTCTCTTTGTATATTCTGTTTGATCCAAACATATTCCTTCAGATTCATAAGTTATTCGTAGTCCAACACAGTTGCTGGCAATACCTATATCTTTCATCTGGAATGCTGTACAAAGCGATTTTTTTAACTGATCTTTAATTTTAGCATCGGACCAAAAAATCAAGATGTCGTCCACATAAATGGGCAATATTAATGTTGCATCTTGATTATAGTAAACACATGGATCCGCTGGTGATTGATCAAGTCCAAAAGCCTTAAGTTTTCTACTAAGATTCTTGTTCCATTCACGGCTGCTCTGCTTCAGACCATAGATCGCCTTTTTTAGTCGACATACTTTGCCTTCTTGGTGCTTGAATCCCTCTGGTGGTTCCATGTAGAGTTCTTCGGACAACTCTCCTTGAAGAAAGGCAGTGATGGCATCCATTTGATCTATTTTTAAACCGCGTTTGATCACAAATGCTACCAAATATCGAATCGATGAATATTTTACCACAGGCGAGTACGTCTCATTGTAATCAGTGCCATATCTTTGCGAGCACCCTTTCGCAACAAGTCTAGTCTTGTATCGTACTATCTCTCCTTTTTCATCACGTTTGGTTTTAAAAATCCATTTGCACTTGATGGCCTTTTTATTAGGAGATAAATCTACAAATTCCCAAGTGCGATTATCCTGAAGCGAATCTAGCTCTTGATTAACAGCCACTCCCTATTTTTGACTATCATTTCTTCCTAATGCTTCCCTCAGTGTTACCGGATCATCTTGTTCATTGCCTATTGCTAGATATGTAATGAATTCATCGAAGTTTTTTGGCTTCGGAATGCGCGATGACCTTCTTAATCCCTGTGAAGGTGTTAGGGTTTTATCAAGGTCGTCACTCGATGTTCCTTCGGTAACAGATACGAAAGAGTCCTCTTCCGAGTTACTAGTCAGATCTCTCTCTGACTGAATGTCTTCTGTTGTGGATGCATCATCCCTCACTGAATCAGTATCCTTTTCAACGTTGATTATTGCTGAAGTCACTTGCTGTTTTTCAAGAAATTTGACATCTCTACTGATGATGAGTTTTTTTGTGTTGGGATCGATACAACGGTAACCCTTGGTACTATCACTATACCCGACAAATATCAATTTAGTGGATTTGGGGTCCCATTTTAACTTTTTTTGTTTTGGAACGTGAACCATTACTTCTGAACCGAAAATCCTGAGATTGCTTACATCCGTCTTATTTCCGGTCCACATTTGTTCTGGCGTTTTATCGTCCAATGCCGAGTTGATGCATCTGTTGACCACATATGTCGCCATATTAACGGCTTCAGCCCAATAACTTTTATCTAGCTTAGCGTCAAAAAGCATACATTTAGCTCTCTCTACTAGCGTACGGTTCATACGCTCTGCAATCCCATTTTGCTGAGGAGTATATGTGTTCGACATTTGATGATTTACACCTTCATTACGGCAGAATTCTTCAAAATCCTTGCTGCAATATTCCGTCCCATTATCTGTCCGGATTACTTTTATTTTTCTTTCGGTTTGGATCTCAACTAGCTTCTTGAAATCTTTGAATCGCTTCAGTATTTCAGATTTTGACCTTAAAAAATAAACGAATACTTTACGTGAATAATCATCGATAAACGTTAAAAAATACTTAGCTCCTCCAATCGAGGCATTTTCCATCGGCTCACATATATCGGAGTGAATTAAATCCATGGTATGCTTTGCCTCCTTTTTTGAAGCCTTAAATGGAAATTTAGCATGTTTACCTTGTATGCAAATTTCGCAACGCATTACCTCTTCAATGCTATCAAAGAATTTTAATCCTTCTACTGCGCCATTACGCATTTTACACAAATCGCCATGGTTGACATGTGCTAGCCGACGATGTCAAGTTATCGCGCTGTCGCTAATGGTTGATAGCATGCATGATGAGTTGATACTTGGAAGATGATACACTCCATCAGATGGTTTCCTTGACTAGGCAATCTCCATTTTTATTTAATAGAACATCCATCAGCATCGAATACTACGGTATTTCCATTTTTTACCATTTGATTGACTGAAAGTATGTTCGTCGTTAGTTCCGGAACATGTAGAACATCCTTTACGTCGACATCCTCATCATTCACCCTGAGAACAACTTTGCCTGTTCCTGAGACAGCCATTTTTTGATTATTGGCAGTAACAATTTCTTTTACAGATGTAGATCTCAATTCACTTAACCAATCTTCATGAGACGTCATATGCTGTGACGCTCCACTGTCTATATACCAATTGCTTCGATTTTGCGTTGCTTTAGACAAGGACATTGCACTAAATGCGTTTCTACTTTCCTTTTTGTCTTTACTTGCTTTGATTGATCTGTCATCCGAATCTGCCAATTTTTCATTCTTATTAGGCTTGGGATCTTTAGTGTACCTGCATTGATTCGACTTGTGACCCTTCTTGCCACACTTATTACATTTTGGTGTTCTTACATCAGAGTTCTTTGATCTTTTATCCTTGGATGCATTTTTACCGAGAAAGACACAATGAGATTCCTTCTGATATGCTGTGTCAATGAATTTCGTTTTTACGGCATCCGAAGTTGTCTTTATTCCACTGCCCTCGAAACCCATCGTTAAAGGTTTGAATTCTTCCGTGAGACCAGCCAGCATGATTGCACTAACCAGTTCATCTCTGATGTTAAGCCCAATATTATTCAGCTTATTAGCAGCTCCTGAAATTTGACTTACATATTCGGACATTGACTCGCAGTTTTCAAGACGAATGTTAATCAATTTTTGTATTAACCCTATTTTATGCGTGGCACCCGTATTTTGGAAGATTTTCGAGCTTATGCCACATTTCTGCTGCATTTCTAGAGTTCTCTACGTGTACAGGGATTCATCGATACTGAGTAGAATTCTTCCTTTAGCCTTCTTTTGCTTGTCCGTGTCCACTTCTCCGGCATCACCAGTAACGATGCATTTTTCGAGACCATTGAGATCCAGCATCGCACGCATGGCCATTGACCACGTATGGTAATTTTCCGCGAAGCTTGTTTATGGACAACCACGATTCTCCGCTCGAAGCCATGACGAGGGGTTACCCGAATCAGTTAGAAGAAGAAGAATAAAGAAAAATTTTTTTTTCCTTTAGAAGTCACGTGTAGAAAGTTCTCGATCGCATGTACAATTACATCAACAGTAGCAAAAATCGCGACACATATATACTTGTGTGCTTTATATTAATACGTGTCAAGTACCCAATTATGACTCTCTGTTCAATGTATATTTGTACTCACTTAATCCTTTCTGAGTAATTACCATGCTATCCTGGGCCCATAACCTGATAAAATTGGGCGGGTAAGTGAGAACACGTTCGTTCATGGCGAAAAGCAACCAGAGAGTAATTTATTGTAGAGACACCAATAACATATTAATGTAACAAAGGTTGCGCCTTTATCGGGATCGGTTGAATACAGAAAAGTACAGATAATACAGATTCCTTACAACAATTTCATAAATTTATTACATTAGGACCCTTAATACTGCTTGTTAAAATTTCTCACCTTTTTTACATCTGATAATGTTTTTTGTAGTATCTTTTGCGCTCTATTCAAACTTGTTCAAAAATTTATAAAAAAAATAGAGTTTCTGACTAACTTAAAAAGCTTTAAAAATTCCTTTATTCATCTATTCTGTAAAATCAAATTATAAATAAATTAAGACATCAAATTTTAAATGGTAACTCTCCGTTAATAGCAGCTGCTACTTTTTCATTCTTCAAAATTGTCACATGATCACCTTCAATGTAATGTACGTTTACTACATTTTGAGTTACCTTAAATAATTACACACTTTATTAACAACAAAATTTGCTAAATTTAATTTATCAAACGCGCAGCGTAGATTTTTTTAAATACCTTATGCAAACCAAAATCTTCTTCGATCGCAATATTTGACGAGTGTGAACATTTCAG